TTGAGAGAGATATGCTTTACTTAGCGAGATAATGTGATGAGTTATATATGAGATTCTGTTAGTGTACGTTGATTGAATAGTTTGGAATAGTCACTAGCACTCAAATAATTTACCAGAGTGAAAAGCTTGTGGATTTTCCAGACTTAATTTTCTCATCAAATTTTGGCACCAATATAGACGAAACATGGTACCGTTCTTGAGCTTATTCGGTCCATAATCACTGGCCTACCTTCGTTTTGTTTTTGTTGCTCATCTGACATTAGTCAGATGCCAGCTTGTAGAATCGCATGATCGTCCTGTGCGTCGTCCGTCCGTGCGTCCGTCTACAGTTGGGCACAATCTTAACCCTCGACGTTGACGGTACACGATATATCGGATGTGGGGGGGTAATCCGAAAACGCAGTTGGGATGTCGAAGCTGGGCGGGGTCAAGTTTTGCCAAAGTACGTTCAAGAGCGGGGTGTAAACGAAGGGGGAACACTTCACTCCTTAACTTAGGTATAGTGTGAAGGGAAATGCAGAATTGCCGGCACAAATCTAAACGGCTCGACCTAGGTCGTTGAATAGTTCGAGGTGTATAGCACATGGTACGGAAAAGCCATCACTGTGACCGCGGAATTTTGGAGGTCGACAGCGTCAAAGTGTCAATGCGGCACATGGGCAGATTTTTAGGACATTTTCTGGGACATGGTCTGACGGTGCAAACCGATAGATGACGCGAGTTGAAAAACTTTTTTGTTTCGCAGCGGTTGACCTAGCATTTATTTATGGCCTTATTGAAAGGACCATGAAATTCCCTTCTGCTGACATCGAAGAGTAAGTGTCGGGATAAACCTTTTTGACCCTCAAGAGGAGGTGTTAAACTTGGATTTGTTCGACTGTCTGTTAGAAGAAATTTTGGCTGCCGGGTTTGCCTAGTAGAATCGTATAACATAGCCTGGATGTATAAGCGCCTACAATGTCACATGTGAAATTTCAAAATGCTAAACTTTGGTTAGAAGAAGGTTGTATGTTCGCTTAAATCGTATAATTTCTATGATCATTTCTGTACTGTCAGTTGTTACATGTAAACGCTATGCCACTGCAGTGGGTTGCATCGCCAGTGCTATGTGTTGCGTGCAGTTTCTTGCCTGCCTTAATTGGCTTACAGGTGGAGCCTTCTCTATTTGCAATTTGCAGCCTGTAGGCTTGCGTAAGGTTAAATTTGGATGAGTGCTTACCTATTCTGTCTTGCAAATAGTTGTTGTATAGTTAGTGATGTGAGCTTCCACTCTTTAATCTGAAGACACTTAAACGTACGCGCACATCTCGTGGCAAGCTTTCACTAACGATCCCACACGAACATTTTTGAGAAGGTTCCTTGATACATCCCTGTGCATTCCACTGTTTCCGGCGTGTAATGTGAACACCATTTGGGGACTAGGCAGGGTTTACTAGAAATCCCAACCACTCACCACAGAGTCACCGCCAGTAGACGTTTAGATGACGCGCTGATCGCTCTTGGCGGCACTTGTTTTAATAGGTGATTAGGGTCACGAATGCACCATTAAAGACATTAGTTTTTCAGGCTACGCGATTTGTCATCAAACCATGGGATTTGGGAGTTATGCAGATGCCAGAAGGTGCTGAAATTGCATGGTGTACGCAACTGCGTATCTGCCATATTCTGCGTATCCTACAAGGTTGGGTTTGTACCACCTACGCACAATTAAATGTTACGTTATAAGCCGTTAGCAAGCAGACTCAGGAATGAGCCCAGACGCTCTTCGAGCTTTGTTTTGCATACCGAAGAACGTTATATATAATGCTAAAAGTTGTCGAGACATAAAACTCATTCGACCATTGCCATGTAACATTGTTACTGCTCATATCAGCCCTGCGGCAACTGTACGCGGCTATAAGTTACTAGAGCTATACACTTTGTCATGCCTAGAAAAGGCAAGGCTGTCTAAACGACCGCCGACCCGGTTTCCGAGTTCTTAAAAAACTAAGACAACCGGCTCTCTTCTTTGCAATTGGGTCAGTTTCCGGAACAATAACACTATTAACAGGACAAATATATAATAGGACAATGTTAAATGCAACACATAAAGAAATATATTTAATTCCAAACATAAACAAAAGTTACAGAACAAATAAATGCAGAAACGAATAAAATACAAAGAAATATACTGTAGAGCGTAGTTGTATGTTATAATTTAAAGTATAAATAATCAAGAAGACGTATAGAATTTGTGTTCACTAAAGAAATATATTGTTTACAAACAACCCGTCAGCGTCACGTCACGTCCTGTCTCGTTCCAATCTCCCCCCAAATGCTCTCGCGTCCCTTAATATATGAACCCCGCATCCAATCACGGCCCAGTTCCACTCTACCCTAACCAATCACACACCACTCTCTCTCTTGTTCAAATTATTACGCGGGAAATGTACATATGCTGGCCATCTGTACCAAGTCCCAACCTAACATCCGTAACCTATCCGCGTAGTACCCAACCTAACTATTTCTCATCTGTATGCTAAACGCCCAACCCTTCTCTATGTACAACCAAAACTATCTACGATTACTAATTCAATGTGACATCTGTACAACATATGTAAAAGAGACGTTACAATACAAAGCAGAGAAAAATAAAAACATGTTAAATGGTGTTCGAACACAGTCCGTTATTTTAACGAAGCGAACGCTCTACCGCTGAGCTACTCGGACCTACTTGAAAGTAGTTGATATAGACCCCAACCCTAACTCTAATCCTAACCCTAACCCTAACCCTATCCCTAATTCTAAAATAAAATAAAATTAACCAAAAATAATAAAAAATAAAATAAATAAGTGACATAATTAGCCAATCAAAGAGAGCCGGTTGTTTAGTTTTCAGGATTCCGAAACCGGATCCGGTTGTTTAGACACTTCCATAATAAAACCTGCACTAGCCATGCCTGGTAACTGGTTATTATTAAATATTATACTAGTATTACCACTACTAGTTTAGTACTAGTAGTTGATAGTCACAGTGATATCATAGTGTAGTAATAACTCGAGATTATTTGGAATGTCAGTATTAGTGATAAGCACCCCCTATAAGAAAGCTTTGAGTCACCGTAACACAACCAAAAGTGCTTCTTTCAGGTGCTGGAGTCGGAACGGTAGCTAGGTGAACTCGACTCGAGAGAAGATGATTCGCCTACCATTCAGACAGCTTCTGGCGCGTCCAGCCACGTGGGCCGCCCTCGCCTTGCGCGCCGAGTCTACGACGGCTGCGGCGCCCGAGCCGGAGAAAGTCGAAGTGTTCATCGACGGGAAACAAGTGCTCGTGAACCCCGGCACGACGATCCTCCAAGCGGCAGCACAGGTCGGCATCGACATCCCGCGCTTCTGCTACCACGACCGGCTGTCGATTGCCGGCAACTGCCGCATGTGCCTCGTCGAAGTCGAGCGTTCGCCGAAGCCGGTCGCGGCATGCGCGATGCCCGTCATGAAGGGCTGGAAGGTGAGGACGGACTCGGACATGACGCGAAAGGCTCGCGAGGGCGTCATGGAGTTCCTGCTCGTCAACCACCCGCTCGACTGCCCGATCTGCGACCAGGGTGGCGAGTGCGACCTCCAGGACCAGTCGATGACCTTCGGCTCGGACAAGGGCCGCTTCACGGACATCAAGTACACGGGAAAGCGCGCCGTCGAGGACAAGAACATCGGGCCGCTCGTGAAGACGATCATGACTCGCTGCATCCAGTGCACGCGCTGCGTGAGGTTCGGCAGCGAGGTCGCCGGCATCGAGGTTCTCGGAACGCCGGGCCGCGGCAACGACATGCAGATCGGAACCTACGTGGAGAAGCTCTTCGCGTCGGAGCTCTCCGGAAACGTCATCGACCTTTGTCCCGTCGGTGGGTGTCTCGGACGGTCGTCCTTCCGCACTTGTTATTATTATTATTAAATCTTTGCTGCATGTAATTTAAAGTCATAATAGGCCCATTGATTATGCAAAGTTGACGAATGCTACAGTAACTGGCACCTTGTGTAGTTAATAAGTACATTACCTTTGGAGCTAGTAGTAGTACTAGCTCTAGTACTATACTATATAGTATTTGTACTAGTAGTAGTAGCTCTAGTACTATAGTAGTAACTAGTAGTAGGTGTACTAGTAGTAGTAGCTCTAGTACTATAGTAGTAACTAGTAGTAGGAGTACTAGTAGTCTAGTAGTACTAGTAGTAGTAGTATTAACTAGTACTACTAGTAGTAGTAGTAGTGCTAGTACTTAGTAGTAGTGCTAGTACTTAGTAGTAGTAGTAGTAACTAGTATTACTACTACTACTACTAGTAATTATTGTAACATGTACTTGTAGTAATAGAAGTATTCGTAGGTGTGGATACAATTGTATCACCCTGAGTGATAGCTCCAAGAAACGTTATTGCTAGGGTTAGAATACCCCTATACCAGACAACCCCTGCTTATATAGCAAGCAATTTACTCTAGCTAGTTTCTGATACTGACAATGCCAATGGCAGTGGGACATTGTAGTGGTAGGGGTGCATTAGTCCGAGCCGACGCAGACCCCAGTAATGGGTGATGATAAACCCACACCCTCAGATTAGCAAAGCGGAGTTATAACGTCTGCATTTGCGGACTAGGGGTGCATATGATATAAGGCAAGGTCACATATATGATAGAGATGCCAGATAATGTATTAATTGTTTATATATACAAAAAGAAGCTCTCAGAAAATGATTAGATACTATATATAATGCTAATGAAGTAAGCTGTGTTCAAATGCTGCACTTTCGCCTTACTGCTGTCATCGAAAATCAAAAATCAAAATACTAACTCGTTCGTACACTCAGGATACCACTGCCACAATGCTATAGCATTATTTTTAAAGTGGGCGGAGCTCCGGGGAAATGCAGTGAATGGCGATTCTTAAACAGCATATGATTTGAAAGAGGTAACTGGGTGCACAATCCGCGTACTATTTCGTATCACTATTTTATCAAATTTTCCATTAAATAATGGTCCGATTTTTATTATGTTTGGAACTTTTTATGTTTGGAACTTATAGTGAAAACACCTAAGACCACACGGAAATGGAACCACGGCGAACCCCATCTATACGACCCCCCATCTAAGTCGTGAGTTCCTCCCACGTCCCAAATGTCTGCCCTCTGTGTCCCCCGCTAAAATTCCGGACTGTTCGCTGGCAGCTATGGATCCGTGCGCCGACATATGCATTCGGCGCACGGATTCATAGCTGCCAGCGAACAGTCCGGAATTTTAGCGGGGGACACAGAGGGCAGACATTCGGGACGTGGGAGGAACTCACGACTTAGATGGGGGGTCGTACAGATGGGGGGGGGGGGGCAAGAGAAAAGCTTTTGATTTCGACGTGGTTTCATTTCCGTGTGGTCTTAGGCGTTTTCACTATAAGTTCCAAACATACAAAGTTCCAAACATAATAAAAA